AAGAGCCTCGGGCAGGTTCTTGGAGAGGTATTCCAGAAGGATGCATTGTTATCCTCGATGACACCGCCATGAGCGTTATTGTCTCTGAACCCTTCCGGTGGGACAAGACATGAAGGTAGGAAACAGTGAGCAGTTTTACATGCTTGAGACTGTGAGCTCCTGGGCAGAGATCTCATTTTATCCATTTCTCTGTCCCTGAGAGCAGTTAGCACAATGCTTAGCATCAAATTGGCCCCGGCAACACTTGGCTGAATTGGAAGAAGAATGATTCACAGTAACCTAAACCTGAGACCACTTGGCAGGAGGCATAGAATCAAGCCATAAAATGTTAAACTGAATTATACGGCAGGGAATTACAAGCCATGCTTGTAAGCCAATCCGGCCAGAAGGAGGCTTTTAGAATATTTGGGAAGTCACTTGTTTAAATTTATTCCAGATTTGTTTATTTCTTGTGTAAATTCCAACTGGACCTCCTGGCTGGGCTGAGTTCAGGCCTAAGCTACATTCCAAAGGAGTTTCAAGAAGCTCAAGGGTACGACTGCTGGGGGCCCTTACTGTTGCCCAAATGCAACTGTCTGGACTTCGGAACTCAGAATCCTAGTTATCAGAGCTGGAAGGTATGTTTTAGAAATTAAAAACTCCCTTTCAGAGAGGTGCACTGACTAACCCAAGGTCAAACAACTATGAACAAGTAAGTATTGACATATGCAAGCAGAGGCAGATGAATTTTCTATTCACTCTCTACTCTGTTAGGACCTCCTTGATATGAGAATCATACCTTTCTCCCTGAAAGGTCAGCTCCTCATCCCACTGTTTTCTTGCCTCTTTACCTCGATTGTTGGATGTGGACATGAACTTTCAGAGGATCACTACAAGTAATCCCCTTATCGCTACATCCTATGACTTCTGCCCCATCTAACAGCAATAGTTCAGGGTCAAAAGCAAGAAGTCCCAAGGTCTAGTTCCAGGTGTACCAGCTGTGGAACTTGGGACAAGCCACTTAGTCTTTCCCAGCTTCGGTTTTCGTATCAGTACAAGAGAGTTCAGGTATAACATTTTATTATAATTCTACCTCCTAATTCTCCCTGTGGGCTCAGAAAAATATCAAGCAGACTATAGATTGAGAAAACACAAAGAAAAAATTAACCTCTCCTAACCTAACTCTAGGGGCTTTTTAAAAACTTTCTAAAAAATGTATTTTTAAAGAGAGGAGAAGGAAGGGAGAAACATCAATGTGTGGTGGCCTCTTGTGCGCCCCCTACTGGGGACCTGGCCTGCACATGTGCCCTGCACATGGCCAGCAACCCTTTGCTTCCTAGCCCTGCACTCAATCCACTGAGCCACACCAGTCAAGCTTAAGAGCTTTTTTTAAATTTAAAAAACAAGTTAATTTTTTTTGCTGGCCATTGATTTGAGGAGCTATTGCTTTCTCTTTTCATGCTGAAGATTATTTTACCACTTCAAAACATGTTTATTGAGATATAATTCACATACCATAAGATTCACCCAAGTATGCAATTTAATGTAATTAACTATATTTAGAATTGTGCATTCATCACAGCAATTTAAGTTTAGAATATTTACATCACCTCAAAAGAAATCCTGTATCCTTTCGCAGTCACTCTCTGTCACCACCTTGCCCCCTCAGCACTAGACACCACCCACCTACTTTCTCTGTCTGTGGATTGCCTATGTTGGACATTTCATATAAATGGGATCATACGAGATGTGGTTCTTTGTGACTGGCTTCTTCTTTCATTTGTCATAGTGTTTTCAATGTTATTCCATGTTGTAGCATGGATCACTACTTCATCTTTATGGCTATATAATATTCTGTTGTATAAATATACCACATTTGCTTCATCCATTCATCAATTGATAGACATTTGGATTGTCCCTACCTTTTGGCCATTATGAATAATGCTGTGATGAACATTCATATACAAGCATTTGTATAGATACATATTTTTAATTCTCTTGAGTATATACCAGGAGTAGAGTTGCTGAATCATATGGTTACTCTATGTTTAACTTTTTGGGAACTATCAAGTGTTTTCCAAAGTGGCTTCACCATTTTATATGCCCAGCAGAATTGTATGAGTGTTCCACTTTCTCCATATCTTCCCAACACTTATTATTTTTGTCCTTTTTTATTATAGCCTTTCTTGATTATGTGAAATGGTATCTCATTATAGTTTTGACTTGCATTTCCTTAATATCTAATGATGCTTAACATATTTTCATGAGCTTATTGATTGCCGGTGTATCTTTTTTTGAAGAGTACCTATTTTAAAATTGGTTTACTTGTCTTTTTGGTGTGTTGTAAGAGTTCTTTATGTATTCTGGATACTAGATTCTTGTCAGACATATGATTTACAAATATTTTCTTGTATTCTGTGGGGTGTCTTGTTACTTTATTTATAGTATCCTGTGAAGTGCAGAAGTATTTTGTTTTGATGAATTCTGTTGTATCTATTTTTCTTTTTGTTGCTCGTGGTTTTTGGACCATATCTAAGAAACCATTGACTAATCCAAGGTCAATATTTATGCCTATGTTTTCTTCTAAAAGTTTTATGACTTTAGATTTTGTATTTTAGTCTTTGATCCATTTTGAGTTAATTTGTGTAGATAGTGTGAGGTTGGGATTCAAGTTTCATTCTTTGCCTGCTGCTATCCAGTTGTCCCAACACCATTTGTTGAAAAGATTATTCCTTGTCCATTGAATTATCTTAGCATCTTGTAGAAAGTCAATCAACCACAAATGTATAGGTTTATTTCTGGAGTCCAAGTCCTATTTCACTGATCTATAGGTTTGTCTTTATGCCAATAAAACATCATGTTGATCACCATAGCTTTGCAGTAAGTTTTGAAATCAAGCGTGAGTCCTCAATATTTTTATTCAAGTTTTTTGGAGGGAGCTATTCTGAGTCTCTTGTACTTCCATATGAATTTTAGGATTAGGGCATCAATTTCTGCAACAAAAGAAATGAGATTTTCATGGAGATTTTGTTGAATCTGCAGATTAGTATGGGGAATATTGCTGTCTTAACATATAAAGTCTCTGATCAATGAATACAAGATGTTTTCCCACTTATTTAGGCCTTCTTTAATATCTTTCAACAAGGATTTATGGTTTTGAGTGTATGTGCTATTGTAAATGGAATTCTCTTCTTAATTTCATTTGTGAATTGTTCATTACTAGTGTATAGGAATACAATTGATTTTTAAATATTGATCTTGTATCCTTAAACCTTACTAAACTTGTTGATTAGCTCTAATAGTCTTTTTTGTGGGTCCTTTAGGATTTTTTTTACATATAAGATCATGTCATTTCTGAATATACTTTTACTTCTTCCTTTCCAATCCAGGTGCATTTTATTTCTTTTTCTTGCCTGATTGCTCATGCTAGAACCTCAAATACAATGTTGAATAGAAGCAGGAAAAATATAAATCTTTGTCTTGTTTCTGATTTTAGGGAGAAAGTTCTAGTATTTTATCATAAGTATGATGTTAGCTATGGGCTTTTAAAAAATAGATAACCTTCATTGGGTTGAATGAGTTCTCTGCTATTCCTAGTTTGTTAAGTGCTTATCATGACAAAGTATTAGATTTTATCAAATGCTACATGTAGGTGAATCATGGATGGCTTCACCGCAGAGATGACATTTGCACTCAGTTTCAAAGATGAATAGGAGTGAGCCAGGAAGAGAAAAGAATACAATATGAAATGGCATGACCAGAAAAGACAGAGCATATTTGAGAAAACTAGAATAAATTGGAAGAGCTAAGAGGTAGGTTGAGAAAGGAGGGGGTTGCTATAGATTGTGTGTTTGTGGACCCCTACCCCCACCCAAATTGACATGTTGAAACCTAATGTCCAATATGATGGTATTTGGAGGTGGGGACTTTGGGAGGTGATTAGGTCATGAGGATAGAACACTCATGAGTGGGACTAATGCCCTTAAAAAAGAGACTCCAGAGAGCTCTTTCCCTGCTTCCACCAGGTGAGAACACTGAGGAGATGGACACCTGTGAACCAAAAAGCAGGCCCTCACCAAATACCAACTAGGCCAGCACCTTGTCCTTGGACTTCTCAGTCTCCAGAACTAAGAAATGTTTGTTGTTTAAGCCACCCACTCCATGATAACTTTGTTATAGCAACCCAAGTGGACTAAGAGAGTTGAAGAGAAAGCTAGAGAAAATATAGGTTGGTGCTGGGTTGTGGAGGGTCTTCACTCCATATTGCAGAGTTTGGATTTTGTGCTATGAACAGTAGAAGGACTAACGAATTCTGGGCAGACAATTGGCATGCTTTAGAAAGAGCATTCTGACAGCAACTTTTTGAGGGAATTAAAATGAGTAATATCTGATTCTAGCAGTCTAGGTCAGAGCTGGTGAGGACCTGAACTACCACAGTGGCAGCACTGAACAAACGGGAAGGAAGAGTTCTGCAGCTTTCTGCCCACCAGCTTTCAATCATTTACAGGTTTTTTTTTCCCACCTAAAGAACACATGCCTTCACCAGGTTTTAGAGGCCCAATACAATGAAACCCCAGCCTACCTTTCCAGTCTCATTTTCCACCTTTCTTTTATTCTTCTATCACACTGGGCTAGTTATCCTTCCTAAGATTTATTCTGCCTTTTCTTAACTCTGTGCCATTATTCAAGCTGTTCTGTTTCCTATTTCTGTATAGTCATATCTTACCCGCCTACGAATCCTACATTTCCCACCCCCAGCCCCTTCCAATTTCCTCTGATTTCTTCAGTTTTACTAGAGAAGAAAAAGCATAAATTCCAGAACACGAAGGCATGGGTTTGAATACTGACTCTGCCATTTACTTTATGTACTTACTTAACTCTGTTTACTATCCTCACTAAGCATGTTTTCTAGTCTAAAGTGCAGAGAATACCTATTTTACAAAATCTCAGTACTGAATGTTAAATGCAAGTTAAAGGATTCAAAAACCTGTAAGTCAATATGTAAATGAGAGCTACAACAGTAAATCACAAAATAGCATATTTATTCATGAGTTTATTCCAGTTACTAGGATATCCTCCTTAGGTTATCCTTGTTTGTGTATGTTGCATCATCCCAAGTAAACAATGATCTCCTTAAGAAGAATCATGTCTTCGACTTTCTGTATCTTCCAAAGTACACAGTATACAACCTTATATAGGGAGGTGACTGATAAGCATATACTGAATGAGTAAATAAACTGACGGTGAGAGACATGGTGAACATTTAGGGTTTATTTTAGGTTTTCCAACACCTGAAACCTCTTCTTCTGTGTGGATCTTAATGGGAGACAGGGTCCCACATCCCCCAAGAGAAGCCAAAGATATCGTACTTGAAGTTCCCCCCACCCTCCTCCTTGCAGCAAAGGCAGAGGCAACATGATCCAGGCTTGGTCCTTTGAATGCTCCCACCAGGACTTTGAATCTTGAACAAAGAGTGTAAAGACACTGCGATGGAGGAGAATTCATTTAAGGTGGCAGCCTACAGTGGCGAGGGAGGTAGCGGTTCCAGCTGTAGTGTCCTTGCCTCGGCCAACCCTGTGCTGTGACTTTGGTTGTGACCCCTGTTTCTATTTTCTGAGCTCTCATTAGCTGGCCTTCCCACGAACTCTGAGGAATTACTTGATAACCTTCAAATATATTCATTTTCCCCTGCACTTGGCAGAGTTGGTTCCCGTTGCCTGCAACTGAGAACCTCGGCATAACTTTGAGGTAAGGGTGTAGGGTGAAGGAGAAAGCAGGGGTCTTTCACTTTTCTCCTGGTAAACTTCTATATTGCTACTGTTTTGGTATTACTTCTGCCATTTAAAGATATATTTTTTAAATTGATCATCTAAAGCAGAGTTGGGCAAAAAGAAGTGGTAAGAAATAAAATTGGAAAATTAGGATGGAGCCAGGTTGTACAAATCCTTGAATGTCAGTTTGAAGATTCTGAATTTAGCTCAGTGAGTATGGGAAATTCATAAAACAGAACAATGATATGATCAAATCGATGTTTGTTTTTTTTTAAATGTTACGTAGAAGATGAAACAGAACTTGGAGAAATTAAAGACCAGGAGAACAATTAGGAGGAGGCTGTTGCCATAGTCCAGACAAAAGACTGAGAAAATTCCTCAGCTGCTGGTGACAGAGTGAGGTTGTCCGTCACCGGTTGGGTTTTTGGGGAAGTAGATGCTGAAGCAGAGTTTGAGGTGCAAGATATTAACCAGGGGGAGGAAGCAGGATTGAATAGAGGGTGAACTCAAGCTGCAACGTAGATCCGACATAGACCCAGTCAACCAACCTGGCAAGGGGTTCTGGAGTGAATACTGCTCATCAGAATTGTCCTGTAGTAGGCCAGAAAGGCTGACCCTTTTTATACCCCTGCTGTGCTCATTCACCAGATAAGGGTGGCCCCAGGATGAGCATGACCTTGTATGAGACTGTTCTCTGCAGGTGAGGCAGACACTGAAGGAACTGAAGCAGCAAGAGGTGATCGGCTGGCTTTGCTCTCTGTAGCTGAACACCAAGTCTCTCCTTGAAGGTAGAACTGGGTGGCACACCCCCATGCCTACCATAAAGAAATAGATGCATTATGATACCTGAAACAAAAGCAGTGCAGTGGAAAGGAGGGAACAGAAGAGTCTACAGATACTATGTTTTATAGATGGGGGATGACCAGGGAGTAAGTAAAGGTTGACACTAAGGTCTTTATGTTGATGTGATTTGATGGTAATTCTATTTGACTGATGGTAAACAACAGAAGACAAGGAACAGGTTTGGGGAGAAAGATACGGCGTTTATTTTGAACATGTTGACTCTAAAATGCCTTCAAAATATTAAAGTAGCAGTGATTTGCAAGAATCAGTGCCTATGGGGTGTCTGGAGGCCAACAGCAAGTGCTACATAGGGTGGGGCAAAAGTAGTTTCATAGTTATTCATATGGAAAAGAATACCATAGTTATTAAATAATAATACAAGAATAAACTCTGTGTTTCACGTACTCACAGCTACAAACCTACTTTTGCCCCACTCTATATTTATTGAGTGTATATATATATACACATTATATTCTTATTTAATATGCATAATGCTTCTATGAGGTATAATGCCTCTATGAGGTATTGTATCCTTTGTATATATTTTATCATACCTTCTGTTTATGAAGAAACTGAGACCCAAAGAAGTTAAAATGCCTGGCTCAAAGAAGTAAAACTCAAGTCTGTTTCTGGACAAAACACATACTGTCAAAGACAAGAAATCACCACAGACAGATGGTTTCTGGAGCCATGCAAGTTGGTAGGTCATCCAGAAAGGCATAGTTTAAAGGAGAACAAAAGGAGCCCCAAAATGGAATTCTGAGGAAGCTAAAACATAATGAAGGGATTGAACAGTTTCTAAAAATTAGAAGTATGATTTGTCAGAAGTTGGGGTAATAAGCATTCTAGCTCACAAGGTGAAATGTGCCCAAATCACGGAGGATGAACTTTTCACAATTAGAGGTCATTGAGGACATTAAAGCAGTTTACAGAAATGTGAGTCTGCAGTGGGTGATGGGTGCTTGGGAAATAAGGAAGTAGAAGCAAAGGGTCGAGGCCACTTTTCTAGAAGTTCTGCAAAGTAGAGAAAATAATAATGCCTTATATGTAAGGAATTTATTAGTTATTAGTTGATTGATTAACTAATAACTCCTTGCTCCCATAATACTTACCGTTTTCACTTCTACCATTCTCTGGTTATTTCTTTCTACCTCCTTCATACCACTGTCCCTTCCCATGTCTGACACACCTGGAAACATTGAATGGTATTTATTTTGGTTGTAGATGACTTGTTTTATTTGGCGATTCTGTCTGTCTGTGGAGGATGGGCCATAGACCCCACCACCACCACCACAACTCCATCATCTCTTTTCCACCAAGAAAGAGAAGCATTCAGACCAGTTCAGTACTCAATAAACCAAATACTCTGTCTCCTAGTCTTCTCTCCTTTGCTCTCCCAAAGTCTGGGTGGGCAGATCTGGGAGAAGGAAGCTGCCACTCCAAACCTCCTGGGAAACAGAGTCCCAGGTGGGGAATCTGTTCGGTTTTTCAGTGAGCTGAGATCTTCTCCCATCAGTCCAGCAGTTTGCCAGAGGGGATTGGAGAGTAATTAACGCTGCCGTCCACCTGTGCACAGGAAGATGCCTACAGCCACACCAGTGATGATGAAACTGCCCACCAGGATAGCCAGGACCAGCGATGTGTAGGAGCGGCCTGTTTGGCTCTCTGGAGAACATGTAGAGAGTTAGTATGAAGGACAAACCTCCAAGGAATCCATGGTTTGAGTAGAAACCCAAGGAATTTCTGCCCCAAAGGAAGGGCCCAATTTACTACGTGACTTAAGCTATGTGTACTCAGTCCCAAACCCCCAGCCTTGGGCCTCCTGTTTCTCAAGGTACCCAGGTCCATCCATTTGACTGGAACCCACCCAATACACAGGCCCATCGCCAATACCATCATACCTTTTGAACTTTTTGCGTTGTATTCCTTCACGTACTGCATACAGGTGTTCTGCAGGAAATCCTGCAGGTCGTACCGAGTCCGATTGTAGGTGTTGAGCTTCTGCAGGGTGTAGGTGACCACTCTGGAGTGGGCCTGGGGCCCTGCCACCCACGTGGCGTCCACTGGCCGGAAACTCACAAAAGAGCTACCGTTTACAGCCACATCAAAGAAGGCTTGGGCTCTAGTACCTTCAGGGGGCCGCTCACAGCCCAGGAAACAGCGAATGGTCAGAGGAACTGCGGATGAGGGATTCAGGGTCAAGGGGCTGTGTGGAGAAGGTGCGAGGGATGTCCATCAGGAGGAAGTGAACTTTTGGGGTTCAGGGTGGGTTTACCCCAAGACTGTGGGAACAGGACGAGAGCCTGATGGACGGCCTATGGTCCAGGACATTGACTCCTCTCCAGCCTCCAGCTGGTACTCAGCAATAAGCAAATACTGGTGCCTGGGCACCACTGGGCTCCAGAGAGCCGCCCTTTCACACAAGGCCACGCCCCTGGGGCCACGCCCATCCACAAGACCCCCTACAGGTTCTGCTCCGTCTGGGCCCCGCCCCCGCACGCAGGCCACTCACAAGCCACACCCCGCTCCTTGTGCACCAGCTGCACCACGCCCTGGAACTGTTGCAGGTAGAGCTGTATACTTTTTTCTGTGAGCGCCCAGCTCTTGGGCTCCTGCACGGGATGCAGCTGGAGGATCGTGATGTTGGAGTCCTGGCCTTCCAGTACGTGTGTCAGCAGCCCCCCCAGCGACGCGTTGCCTCGGTGCAACACTTGATTGGGGTCTGGGAAGTAGGAGATCTGGAGCATGTGGAAACTCTGTGGGCCTGGGGGGCGGAAGTCAGCGCGTTAGTACCCCGCTGGCCTGGGACGGGCTGGTGAGGGATGGGTCAGCATGGAGCCCAGATAATAATCCCCTACCCAGAGGCTGGCTGCCCACCTTCTTGGTCCTTCATAAAGTGTCCTCCCACCCTCTCTCCCATTTAATGCTCACAGTAATCCTGCCAGGAGGGTAGGACAGGGATTATTATCTTCGTTTTACAGGAGAGGAAATAGGCCAGAAGAGGAGAAACCACTTGCTCCAGGGTAATCCAAGCAGTCAGTGGAAGAGCCATTCTGATCTCCTTTCTCTCTCTCACCCCTTCCTTCCCCCATTTCCAGTTGGTCAGCAATTCCTGACCTACAAGAAAAATCCCAGTTCTGACTCCTCAGCCAGTGCCCTCCTTCAGGCCTTGTTGGTCCTCACCTGGGCTGGTGGTGATTTCTTTCCACACACCCCTGCCTTCATTCTTCGGTGTGACCCCTTTTAATCTGACCTCCACTTCACCCAGAAATAAGATTGTGTTCTTCTGCTTAAAGTGCTCTGGGGACATACTCCCCTATCAGTAATTAATCATTATAATAATTATTATTATTGGGCTTATGTACCTGGGCACTGTACTTGACACACATTATCATGTTATTCGTGCCTTCCTCCCATTAACTTAATGCAGCAGCTACTATTATTAACCCCAGCCTATATGGGAAACAGGCTAAAATGTGTACAGTAAAGGCAAGGTTTGAATGCGAGAGGTTGGAGTCTAGCACTTTTAGCCGTCCAGCTCTACTGACTTCCCACAGGGTACCTGTTCGTGGAATCAAGTCCAAAGTCTTTAGCACAGCATTCAAGGCTGCTGGGGATGAGGCCCCTGCTGCCTGCTTCGGCCTCTTCCCAGTACCTACATATACCAAAGTCCTTGGACTTCCTTGTGCTGCCTTTTGACTGACATGTAAATTGCACGTCAGGGTTGCTCTGCCTCCTGGCAGAGCGTGAACCTATTCACGCTTCAAGGCTCAGCTGCGTTGTTTTCTCCTTGGAGAAGCTTTCCTGACGCCTCTCCTCTTTACCCTCCCAGACACAGTGGACCTGCTTCAGGGATCCCAGAATCCACATAACTGCGCACACGGGCAGCACTGGGCTCCTCTAGCCTAGAATCACATCTGCTGATCTCTGCCTCCTGCACCTGGAAACAGCCGGGCACAGAGTTGGTGCCCGGAGAATGTGTTAGAGGGTATGAGTCTGGGGTTGCACATCTGTGCCTGTGTGTCGTGACTGCGTTGGCATTTGAGAAGTGCTCTGTGCCCGCGGGTGTGAATAAGAACATCTGTGTGGGTAACCCTGGATGGGTTCTTAACTGCTGTGCGCCCCAGTCTCCTCTGTGAAATGGAAATAATAATATTGCATGCCTTGTAGAGATTTTGTGGGGGTTAAATGAGTCCATGTGTGCATTAGCCATAACAAGCGCTCACTGAATACTGGTTATTATTCACTCCTTCTCGGAGGGGGAGACCGAAGCTGTAGAGATTGTAGGAGAAGGGAAAGGAGGCCACCGTGCAATGACAATGAAGGGCAAGAATTCCCCTTCTGCGCTTAAACGGAGCCTTTCAGGCAGCCTTATCTCCCACAACTTCTCCCACTGAGCACAGCTTCTCCTTCCCCCAGCTTCACCTCACCCACTGCCGCCAGTACTCCTCCACCTTCTCTGGTCCCCTTTTCTGCCTCAGGTACCTCAGCCCTGGGCTTTCGCCAAGTCTTCCCTCCGTTCTCCTTGCCTTCCCATTCCTTCCATCTCTCATCTCATCTCTGGGTGCCTTCCCTTCTTCCCTAGACTCACCCCCATCCACATCACACCCTCAGCGCTCCCTCTCCAGACCTCACCCCTGCCTCTTCCCTCTCCCTGAGGCTAACTCCCTCCCCACTTGTACCTGTCTCTGTCTCATCTTTCCAGTCCTGTCCTCTACCACCACTCCCTGACCCCAGCCTCCTCCATCTCCCCCCCTCCATGTGCTGAACTGTACTTCCTCACTTGGATTTAGGTTACAAACCTGTCCCTGGGACCCTGCCTGCCCTATAGAGAGATCCAGCCACACACTGCAGCTGCAGACACACACTCCTCTGGTCTTGTCCACATACCCAGACAGGCTAAAGTCTCCAGCACCATCCCAAGGCGGGAGATGTGCCCCGACTCACCATCTGACGCTTCCAGGCTACAAAGGGCCCTGTCGGGCAGGAGCAGTAGAAGCAGCAGTGGCAGCAATGTTGTCAACATCGTGGGAGTGGAGTTCTTGACCCCACCTGGGCTCCTGGCTCTGGCAGGCTGGGGGCTCCCACCGCCTGCAGCCTCGGGAGACAAGAAGTGAGGGCTGCCCGGGAGGGGAGGGGACTGAACAGAGGAGGCTGGAAGGTGGCCAGGAGGTGCCTAGAGGAAAAGGGCGTCAGGCTTATAAAGTGTTATTCCTACCCTGTCTCATTTCCTACTAGGGGGCTGGCCTCCCTCTTGCCCGCCCCCAGTTCCGCCCTGCTATCCCCTCCTGCTCAGACCTGCCTTTTTCTTTCCCCTGAGCTGCTTCTGGGGAGCAGGGAGCGGCGGAAAAGGGGGAACAGGGGCTTAAAGAGGAGTCCTGCCCTCGATGAGTCAGAGGGTGGGGCATCTGTTTTCAGCTTAGAGCAGACTCTAGGGTGTAGGGACCAGCAGGTTACTAATGGGAAACTGAGGCCCAGAAAGGTTCAGGGACTTGACCAAATCTTATGCCTCATCGTTAGTGGTCACAGATCAGGGATTAGAATTCAGTTTTCTTGCATGCTGGCTACATTTTATAACAATTTGAAGGAAATAGTAATTACACAATCAGGGAATTTTGTGCTCAGTAAGAATCACAGAATGAGTAGAGAGCATCTCACCGCAGCATCATTTATTGGTAGTAAGAGAGAATTATGACCAATCTAAATCTCAGTAGAGGATTGGTTACTTAAAGCAGAAGTTTTTAACTGAGGTCACAATCTTATTAGTGGATGATGAAAACAATTAAAATGAAGTAGAACAGAATAAAACATTTCAGTGTATCCCTATTGGTAAAGTTAAGCATCTTTTTGTGAAACATTTGTTTGTATATGTGTGTTTTGTTTTTGTGCATGTATGTTCCTGTGATGGGTTTGGATAGCATGTAAAATGTATTTAGTACTAGAGGAAGCAAGTAGAAAAATTGGAAACGTACTCCTCTAAAGTATGATAATTCATACTATGGAATACTATGCAGTAGTTAAAATAAAACCTCCCCCTGCCCGATCCTCACTCTATTTTCATCAGATTACTTAGCACAGCCTGAAATTATATTACTTATTTATTTACATGTCTACTGTCTGAATGTCCTACCAGAAGGTAAATTCCGTGAGAACAAAGGCTGTCCATCTTCTTTGTTATGTGCCCACGGTAGTGCACATAGTAGGTAATATTATAACAAATATCATTTTATGGATGACTGAATGAGGTAGTTATGATATGCATAAACCTCCGAGAGTAAGTTGCAGGACATTATGTTCAGTTTAGAAATGTATGTGTCAACCACACTCACACAAACTAAACAGCCTATTTCCTTATGGGATTACTCCGGAAGGATGAGTTCAGAAGGATACTTACCTCCGGGGAGGGGCCTGATACGGAGCATGTGAGTGTGTGTGCGCATGCGCGCACGTGTCAGGGATGGCAATCTTGTAAAAAGCGTTTTCACTCGATTTAGTGAAGGGTTTTATCACTCTCTCTGTATTTGAAAATTTTGCATCTAGAATGTGGTAACGTATCTCTTGTAGAATTAAAAATAAAAGTTTAAAATAAGTTATGGCAGAAGAGCATAGCAAGATCATTATGAGCAGGTGTATTGATATGAGGGATTGGTAAGTGAATGAAGTGGGGAACGATACATACAGTATGATTCTATCTCTTTAGTTTAAAATACTTCCCTCTGTCCAAGTAATAATTCCATTTTTTAGGCATGATAAATTTTTATTTTTATTTTTTACATTTTTTGTTGTTGTTCCGGTACAGTTGTCTCCATTATTCCTCCACCACTTCCCCCAGCCATCCCCACTTCCCACCCTCGATCCTACCCCTCTTTGGCTTTGTCCATGTGTCCTTTATGCATGTTCCTGACAACCCTTCCCTTTCTCCCCATTATCCCCTCCCACCTCCCCTCTGGTTACTGTCAGTTTGTTCTTAATTTCAATATCTCTGGTTATATTTTACCTGCTTGTTTCTTTGTTGATTAAGTTCCACTTGTATTTAAAAAATAACATCCTGTGTGTATATGAGTATTTGTATATACATAGGAAAAATGCCTAAAAAGTTACTGTCAATAGAAATCACCTCTGAGGAATGGGGTTAGAGAAAGGGCTTGGGGGGACTTTTAACTTTTTTTTTCTTGGAGGGAGAGTTGATGTCATAGTGGAATCAGGGCAAACTCTGGACACATACCAGGTTCCCATTCTCTGATCTGAATGCACATGAGCGTCCACGCTCACCTTTTAGTTTTTGCAAACAAGCTGAGGAATAACACCAAAGTCTTTTCCCAGCTCACCAGAATGGTCTACTTGGAAGAGTAGGGGCCTTGTTTTCCTGAACTGGGACTCAAGAAAAGTGGAAGGACTTTAATCACTACCAGTTATGATCTTGTCTTTAAGAAATATTATGATTTTATATTTGAAGAATTATTTCATGGTGGAAGAATTTTGTTACAAACACACATGTTCCCAGCACTCAGCATAAGAAATAAAATGTTGCCGATGTGATCGGAGCCCCCAGGGCACGCCTCTCCAACCGCATCTCTCCCCCCTCTCCCACCAAAGTTCCACCCATCATAAACTACTATTTTTCATCTCCTTACATTTCTAATACTTATACTACATATGCATATCTCTCTAAGCAATATATAGTATTTTGCATATTTGGAGCTTTCTACACATGGTACCAAAGTGCACATATTCCTATGTAACTTGCTTTTTTCATCTGATATATTAATAAAATTCATCCATGTTGTTATATGTGGATCTATTAGTCCCTACTGCTTATATTTGCCATTTTATAAATATGCCACAATTTATCTATTCTCCTGTTGTTAGACATTAAAGTTTTCTCCCCAGTTTTCCACTATTACAAACAGTGCTGGTATGAGCATTCTTGTACATGTCTTCTTGTGCATTTGTGGCAGAATCTTTGTAGCTGCAAACTTGGGAGTGGAATAACTGAGTCATGCGGTATCTGCACCTTTAATTTTACTACATACTGTGGAGTTGTTTTACAGAGAGTTTGGGCCGATTTACATTCCCAGCAATGCATGAGCGTCCCCTTGCTCCCAATCCTCATCAACTCTTGGCATTGTCAGACAGTTGGGTGTCAATGGCATTTCATTTTGGTTTTTCTTTGTTTTATCTGATTCCTAGTGAGTCTGCACATCTTTTTGCTTTGCCTTTTTTCTCCCTTGAGTGCTTGAAGGGTACTTTGGGACAGAGAGTGATAAAGAATATGATTGAACTGATTTGGAATTGAGTGCGGTGAGTCTTTGATCTATGCAGGTAAGGCCTGGGTCCCTGGGGTTAAAGAGGGGCCACTCCACCATCCACAGAGCTACTTGCAGAGGGATCACCAGCTAAGATCTGTCATGGATGGAGGAGGCAACAGCGACTTTGCACACTGTAAGTTCTCAACGTGAGTTATTGTTATTCCACACCCTAAGGCAGGGGTGTCAGACTCATTTTCACCAGGGGCCACATCAGCATTGTGGTTGCCTTAAAAGGGCTGAATGTAATTTTAGGACTGTATAAATGTAACTGCTCCTTAACTAGGGGCAAGGAGCTCAGTACTGCCACTGGGTAGAAACAAGGTGCCAGGCCGGATAAAACAAGGTGGAGGGCCAGATTCAGCCCTCGGCCCTTGTGTTTGCTGCCTGTGTCCTAAGAGGTGAGTGATCTCTGAAGGGACCACACTTGGTCGTCATTGAGTTGTTATCCCCGGCACCCTCCTCACATACCAGGGTCTTGAAAACCAAATTACAAAGACAACAATTATTATTATAGCTAACATTGATCATAGGCCAGGTCAGCATTAAGCTCTACATAAATAATCCTGCTTTATCCATTTGCCAGCCCTGCGAGGTGGGTTTCATTAACATTCTGATTTTATTAATAAGCACACTGAGGCTCTGAGAGGGTAAGTAATTGACCTAAGGTCACACAGTGAAAGCTATAATTTGAACCCATATGCTTGTCTGATGCCAAAGTTTGTAATTCTAACCCCACGTAGTATCTGAAAAATTTTTGGGGAATCACAATCCATGAACACATTTTGAATACATACATTTGATTTGCTTGAGTATTTATGTTATGTATAATATAAAACATGCCCCAAATTTGTGCAGTTTCTCTGGGGCAGATAGAATGAGGCTCATTTTCTCCAGTAACAGATGAGATCATTAAGGTCAAGAAAGTTTAACTAACTTGCCCAAGGGAAGTGCAGAACAGGGATTTTTTAACTTAAAGAGGCCTGGTATCTCTGTTGATTATAATGTTGACCTGATACCCCAAGGTTGTGGGTTTGATCCCCAGTCAGGGCACATACAAGAATCAGCCAATGAGTGCATAATCAACAATAGACAACAAATAGATGTTTTTACCTCAAATAAATAAGCAAACAAAAAAACCAAACAGACTAATAAATAATGGGGTTATGGAACTGTGTCCAGGGAGAGTCGAGAGAGTACTGGGGGCAGGAGAGTTGGTGAGGGGACTGCTTGAAGGGCGCTCCCTTCCTCCTTCCACACCCAGGGTTGGGGGTAGGTAAGAGAAGAGAGATGCTGCAGTTGGAGCCTGCGCTGCGCCATGCCTGGGTGGCCGAGGGGCAGGTAACCACAGAGCCGAATGGGCCCAGGGCCAGCAGCTGAGATTTGACTGAGAGCTAAAGAATGAGGGTCCAACCGAGCAAAAGGAAGTGAAGGAAGCAAGTGGTGGCATTTCCCACTCCAGAAAGCGTGTGCTGGGGGAAGATAAGGGAGACAGGAAGCAGGGCGGGGCCTGTGCCGCGCAGCACCAGTGAGTGCGTAGAGGCCCCGTCGGGAGCTGGGCTGAGCCAGGGACTGGCCGTGAGCCCGGCCAGACTTCAAGGGACTAGCCCGCTGCCTCCTCTCCTCTCTACTGAGGATGCGCAGTTTAAAGCAGCAGGCCCAACTCAGATAACAAAGTGTGGTCCCTTCATAGATCACCTCCACCTTAGGTCGTGGAATAACAATAACTCGTATTGAGAACTTGCAATGTGCAAGACACTGTGTTAAGTAAGCAGAATACATGTGTTTTATTCTCACTAGTGCCCTAGGAAAAGTACGAAAAAATGCCATTGTCCCCATGTTACAAATGAGAACACAGAGGCACAGAATAGTGAACCGACCTGCTCGGAGACAACCAACTAGTAAAAGACAGAGGTGGGCCCCAA